GTCAAAACATGGTTCACAGTAAAATTCACAAATCAATTTACATAACTTTACATCTTAAGAAAAACCAAGACACACAACTTACTATAAATAAAAGAAATGCTTTTGCGACCCGCACAGCTCCCTCCCACCTCCCCTTTTTTTTTTAAGGGACAAAACCCTAAAGTTAAGAAGTCGTGAAAACTACAGATGGTGGATAGAAACCGAGTGATGCTCGGTAAGGTAGGAAAAACAAAACATTTAAACCACAACGCTAATGTGAACAACCGAGTTTAAAAACAAAAACCCGCCGGTTTGTGGGTTTGGTTTTTTTATGTCTAGAAATCAAACTGGAAGATGCAAGATATTTTAAAAACTTTTAAGCGAATAAAACAGTGCCCAACCTAGCAGAAACCAGGAAAGAAGTTGCCGTGGTTTGAAAACTTCACAGCGGCTTCTAGGAGGCAGGAGTTGTGCTCTACTAAAATAACAGCTTGCTGATTTTTTTTTTTTTTGTACCAAGAAAAAAAAAAAAAGGACACAACTAACGGATTTCCTTTTTAAAATTTCTCCAAAGTTAGTATTAAGTCTGCTAAGCCGAGCAACACTGCCGTACGTCCCGCTGTAGTCAGGGAGCGGTGGTGGGGTTAGGGATTAAGACGGGGAGCCGTCCGGAGCAGCCAAGTTTATATGTGAGTTAGTGGTACGGTACCATTCACGCCAGTCCCGGCACTCTGGTAGTGCTGGTGGACGCTATGTAACCTGCTGCCCTGCAGGGCGGAAGGGTCTGTGGCATCCCCTCCCGGGGGCAGGTACATGCTGATCATATCCCGCAGGTCTCCCAGGCAGGCCCTCTGCGAGTGGGAAGTGATGGCAGGAGGCGGCGAGCTGGGCTCGGATTTCACCACCGAGCCCATGGAGCCCAGGCTCATGGCCGTGGAGGGCTGCTGGCCGTAGGCGGTGGGGGACATGCTGTAGGTGGAGGCGGCGTTCATGTAGGTCTGGGCTGTGGACATCATGGGGCTGTACTGCAGGCCCGTCATGTCGTAGCGGTGCATCTGCTGCAGCTGGGGGCTGTTCATACCTGGGTGCTGGCTGTAGCCCAGCTGGTCTTGCATCAGTGAGTAAGCTCCGTTGGTCCAACCGTTCATGTGGGCATAAGTGTCAATCCTCTGCCCCACCCCGACGGGGCTGCTCACCGCGTTGCCTCCTCCCGGGGCCAGCAGATTGCTGGGCAGCGAGTATTTGTCCTTCTTCAGCAAGGTCTTGGTCTTCCTTCGGGGCCGGTATTTGTAATCCGGATACTCCTTCATGTGCACGGCCCGCAGCCGCTTGGCCTCGTCGATGAAGGGT